TGCTGCGAACAGCACCAGCACGTCATGTCGCTTGTCTGTTCTCGCTCGGCCAGGGGCGCGCGGCGCAAGTTCCACCAGTCACGTGGCGATTTCCTTCGGTGGAGAAGAGAGGCAACGCGAAATCATGTCTTCTTTCCCCCCCCCCCGAAATCCTGTACCTCGTTATTGTTTTCCGAGAGGAACGTGTTCCGGCACTGGCGGGGCGATCCTGACAATTTAGCCAAAACATAGCTGTGAATTCACAGAGCGTGAAGGCCGCCTGCATTTTATTCTGAAATTGGAGCTCCCCAAAGCATGCAGCCTCTGAATAGCATTTGCCAGTTGCAGCTTTGATGTTTTAAATAGAGGAAAATGCAATATATTTATTTGTTCCCAATATCATGCTTTTATGTGAGGGGAAAGTTGTAAAACAGGTTGCGTGAGGCCTTTTAATTGTATTTCTGTGGCCAATAGCCATTTGTTTTGTAGGTGGTGGTGTCTGTGTGTCTATGAGCATGTGTCCAGAGGTTCTGGGTACTCTTTCTTATGAAAAATCCTTTTTAGTAACCAGGACACGCTAGGTCTTCTCTCTGCATTTCTGTGTGTATATACACACATATACACATACATGTATCTGAGATGGTTAGTGTTAGAGCAGTGGTGCATTTCCAGTGCCTGCTGCATCTGGCGAGTTCTGGGTGAATGCAGTGGAGCAGAGCACGCTTGCAACTATGTCACTACCAGCTGTCAGCCTGATGGAACAAGTTTATTTTGCCTTTTCTGCAACAACCTTACAGTTAAGGGTGTCAGACAAACCACTGTTTTGTGAGCATGGTCTCACTTTCCCTCCAAGATGACTGTAATCCATTTTTATTGTCTACAGAGAGATTACGTTTGCATCATAAATACAAATATCTCTTTGTAAGGGAAACAATGAGAAAACATGAGAGAAAGGAATGACTTTCCATCCCAAGGCAGTTGGAGAAGTTTCCATTTTGCAGCGTACTTGGGTCTAATTACTCCCGAAGAGCTTTCAGTGGAGCGCTGGGTTAAGTGGGTGATGGTTATCTACCTGCCTTCTCAGCCCTGGCAGCTGTAAAACATCCCGTTTTGAAGATGTTACTGATGTTTATTTGTGTATCTTGTGGAGTGATTCGTTGTAGTTCCTATTGTCATGCACAGTGTGGAGACATCTAGGCCAATACCCTGAGTTTCTCTCTATTTAATGTTGTGAAGCAGTGCGGTTCTGCCTTGCATCTAGCAGTCGGAACTGTGAGCCCAACATTGTCCGTGTCAGATGATGTCTTTTTTCCACTGGCTTCAGTAGGTGTTGTATAATTAACAAGGAGGCACTTCAAGTCTTTCCTATCTTCTCTATTGAATCAATAGTATCATATCAATGCAATTAGTAGTCCTTACTTAGTTGGAAACAGCAGCGGGTGACAAATATTTTGCAAAGTTATCTTACGTGAGTCAATATTTTCTATAATTTGTGCCCCCAACCGTCTTTTTATTTTATATGCAATAACAAAAGTCTAAAAAATTGTTACACCCACTCTAAAGCTGGCCATCTTCATTAGTCATTTTCCATCTCATTTCAACTATATAGTGTGATTTCCAAGCGCTTAGTATTTTATACATCTCCAGAGTTATAGATTACTGTGTTTTTCTTTCACTTGGGATTTCAGAGTAGGTACAATATCGCCTATTGCTCCAGCAGCTCTTGCGAGAGCATATTCCTAAATAAATGCATAGCTGAATTGCTAGAAAGAGGAGCAGAATGTAAGAACATAACGTGATGCCAAGGTCATGCTCAGTGGAAGCCAGGCTTTAGTTTAGTAAGCAGTCATTAGCCTTGATGTTCTACAGAAGCAGAAGCAGAAGGTGTGGTGCACAGGCTCCCCTGGTGCATCTCGAGGCAAGAGCCTGTAATCTGACAGTGAAAATAATCATCCTTGAGCTTGGGAGGCACTAAGGGACAATCCAGAGTTTTTACTCCTCTCTTTGAAACATGACAGTATGTCAGAAATTCAGAGGCTTCAGTCACAGCGTTTTCCGATGCTCAAAGGCAGGAGGATCGGTCCACGCTGTGGTACTGCCAAAACTGCGTACCAAAACAATTTCTCTGCTACAATTTCTCTGATTCAATTTTGTTGAGGTTGTTTTAGCAAACTAATTGATCCAAATCATGTTTTGTTTCCATAGGTTTCCCATTCTCCTGGTAGTGGTTTTGATCTGTACGTTTAAATGTCACCCTTGGAAGCATTTGGTGACATTTTGGACGCTC